ACCGATCATTACCAAAAACAATAGGGGCAGAACCCATCGTACATGTAAACTTTCGTGAAGATTTGGTCCATAACAGTGGCCTGTATCGTGTTTACAAATTATAATGGATGGACACACATGTCTAGATCGGAGGAGGAAGTTTATTATTGGCATAGAACCCGAAATTTAAAATTACACTCACTTTGTTGAGAAAATGTTTCTTAAAATACCGAAAAAACGGGAATTTATACATTGCGTATCATAACTATAGACGCACCCTTAATTCAATTGGTATGTTAGTTGACAAATAAAATGGACCCATTAAGTTATTGTTCACAATAAAACGATCAAAAACACATATTATTCAACAAAAATAAATAATTTATTCTTTATGGTTTCGCCGAATTCTGCCCTTTCAAAATTGCTGGTGTTGCATAACTATAGACGCACTTTTACAAAACTAGAAAAAATTATTTTTTAAAACTTAAATAAAATAAAATAACTTTTATAAATAATGTGTAGGGCCTCCCTTATTTTGAATAAGTTCAAAAATTTTAGCCATCACACTGTTGATCAAAATTATTCGTAAGTCTTCATCGATTGACCGCCATTCATCGATAATCACTTCTTGGAAATAAAATAATGTTTGGTATTGGCTGTTTTCTGCATAGACACGACGAGTCAAGATTCCACACATGTTCTCAATCGGATTCTGGTCGGAAATTTTAATATTTTTCGATTTTAACCATACTTGAGTATGGCCACTTTTATGAACTAGTGAGTTGTCCTGCTAAAAAACGAGTCCTTGATTGTTGCTGCTTTCCCAAAATGGCAATAATTTGTCTTCCAAGACTTGAACGTACTCCATTGAATTCATCCGACAACATGAAAGATTTGGTAACTATTAAGAACTAAAAATACTAAATTACAGCCAATTCGGTAGCAAAATGTGATAAGAACCCGCAAAATACAAAAAAATGGCGGGTACCGTTATATGGTGGCTACCAGAAAAATTGGACCTATTTTTATAATTTTTTCTGCAGAAATTAAGTATCCAATGAAAACCGAATTTAACAAATTTTAGCGTATTCTATTGAAAAATGCGATCAAGAACCCCAAAATACCCTTATATGAGAGCTTTGGCTAAACGTGGACCGATATAGCCCTTCGTAGATGGGCTGCAGACAAAAGACAAGTCTATGCAACATTTTGGCGATTTATCTTAAATCGTTTAGACAGACGGACATGGCTAAATCGTCATAGAATTCTACTCTGATCAATAATATATATAATTCATAAGATCGGAAATGATTATTTCGATGTAACAAACGGAAAACCAAAATTAATATATCCTCCATACTTTGGTGGATGGTATACAAATATCGAAGATTTCCGGCAAAGATGCTTATCACCTTCTAAAACTACGAAAAGCAATATTACATCCACTTAACAGGCCTTAAAAAATACAGAATATGAAAACTTAATCTTATAAATCCACTTTTAGTAGTTCTGAAAAATACACTTTCTCCCTTTATCACCCTTTTTCCGCCTACGAATCTGCTTCAAACCTAACAGCCTCGCAACCTAATTGTTGTATGCAATTCTTCACCAAACATGCTGTATTTACATTTTACAAGTTGCATCATTAACTTGTCATCCTAACAGCCTAACGACAAATTCTTGCCAAAAACAAACAAACGAACATTTGTTGGATGTTGCTTGAGGAAGGTTGGGCACAACATCCGTGACATTCACGACAAGAGACGGTCCATAAATTATAATCAACAAGTGGCAGCAGCTGAAGTACGCTTTCTTATAAGAATATAATACCTCGGTAAGTGTGTGTGTGTACGTGTGGATATTATTACCATTCTAATTCTTCGTTCAATACAATTTTGTTGAGATAATTTTCGAGAAAAATGGTTATCAAGGGATACATTTTATAATTTTCTGCTGTTTAATAGAATAAAATGTGTTGGTGTGTTCTATCAAGATTAGAGGAGATTTGTATTTAAAAGAAGACATGCGTCCCACGACACCCACACATACACGTCCGCACACAAAGTCAAATAAAAAAATAGAATTATCCTTTAGAGGGCATGTTTGCAATGCTGGCCTCGCCTGACATTGACATTGACTTCTTTAAGGAGGAAATAACAATTAAAATAGAATTTGTGTTATAAATAAATTGGATACTTGTGTTTGACATATTCTGAGGTTATGTTTGAAATTTAAAGTAAAAAATAATATATTTTTTCAAATAGATTTACTTTAATTTAGTATTTTGGATTCTCAGAGAATATGAGAACTCTTATGGTGTTTCTACACTATATGTATTTTACATATGTGCTGTCACTTTTTTGCATATGGAAATCGAACTCGTCATGTGAAACATACGGAAATTTCAATGTGTCAAAACAATATGCAATTACATATGTATTTTTTCCGAATAGGACGCGCTCTATTTTCGTATGTGAAACATAAGGAAATCAGCTGTTTGAATGAAACACGTTGTTGGAAGAAAATATTTCAACTGCAAGTCACACAAAAAAAAAAAAAAAAAAAAAAAAAAAAAAAAAAAAAAAAAAGGATTAAAAGGCAACAATTATAAATAGTTATTTCGTTTGTAGGTGTTTAATAAAAAATATGATGTTGATTTAAGAAAAAATAAAAGTGTTTTTTTTGTTTATAGGTTATGTCATATGTAAAATACATATGCCGATTTGAACACAAAAATAAATGTTTTGTGTACACTGCTAATTTTGACATACATAAGGAATTACTTATGGATGAAATAAGTGACAGCACATATGTAAAATACATATCGTGTAAAAACACCATTAGCAAAACAGATAGGTATTTTATTATGACAAAGCTCCCATATAAAATTAATGACACACATTCGATATTTAGAAAGTCCTAGACACAATTCCGACCTAAGTGGCTATATTTTAATCACTCCTATTATAAAATAAAATGGGGAGTTTAACTCTTATACCATTATATTTTGGAAGAAGGGCATTCACATTTTCAAAAATTATTCGAATAGCGGTGAATATTTTGGGTTCCTAGAGGATTAATGGACTTCTTATTGAAAATTTAAGAATTTTAAAATTTCACCCGTATTTTTCAACCAAAATGACTGATTGTCGACATTATAGGTTATAGATTGGCAACAAGGTTATTTACAGGAGAAAAAGATGTAGGCCCATTTTTTTGCATAGCTATTTTGTAACGGTACAAGTCCACATTATAGGTTTTTTCAGTCTTTTTATCATTTCTTCAACGAAAGAGGCTATAATTTGGGAACCTCATTGCAGAAAATATTTTCATGTATTATTTTAAGAAAATGCATTCTCAAACCTTTTGTCAGGCTCGTATAATTTAAACATAACGTATAACTGTGTATTAATGTAAAAATCAACACACGACACGTGTTTGACTAATTTCATTGCCTTCATATGAAATTTGTTACACTAGTGCCCGCATAAACAAATTGGCGCTGCAGTCAAATTAAACATTGCCAATGAGAAGGACTATAGCATGGCCTATAAATAAGGTCACCAAGGGAGACCAGCTGATTATCGATACCTCTCAAGTTTGCTGTCAAAATGCATTTTTGTGAATTGACTTCCATTATGAAAACGTAAACAAAGTCGAAATTTTTGACATTAGACTTGAGAAAAAACAGCTGTTTTCCGATTTCGATTGCTATCTTGGTGACCTTATTAATAGATCTTGGACTATAGCTAGCCTTACACCAGACATCGATATATAACAACATAAATTAAAGCGGGGTACACACTAGCACTATTGAATGTCACCCTTGCCCAGATTTCGCTTGTTTGATAGTGTGGCATCTAATGTTTGTCATTCATCAGGCAACCACCAAAGTATTCATGTTAATCGATAAAAAAGCTGCTAGTGTGAACACCACTTAAGGTTTTTGCGAAATAACCCGCATTATTATAATTATGTGATAGATTAGTTTTTACTAATTTACTCTGGGGAAGGAGAACACAAAACAGTTCTCGGGTAGAATAGCTTTTATGCATGAGAGTCTAAGAAAGGTCTAAGGGACGTGTATAGGAATTTTAAAAATCGGAAAGTAGCATAAACAAGTAATAACGGAAAACCGGTGTAGGAAATTAAACTAAATTAATATAAAAATCTCGGTAATCCGGATAAGGCTTTGAAATCATTTATCCGGATAAGCGAGTTTTACTGTAATGAAAATTTTCTAAAAAAAAAGTTTTTTTTTATTCATCAGGAATCCGATTTGTAAAATTGTAGCCACATCGAATTCGGTTAAATCCATAATAACGTCGAAAATGAGGCGGGACCTTTCTACATCGACTGATATTGTTTAAAAAGACCGACTGATATTGTTTAAAAGTCCGGAGTATTAAAAACAATAACATCAGTGGAAAATTTGGCTAATACATCAAAATACCGGTACTGTTTTATTTTGAAAATTCCACGTGAAAACGCAGCTAAAATCTCAAAATGTGGCGGCTATATCAAAATTTTACCTGTTCTAATAGAAAGTGCATTTTAGAATACGGAAGGAATGCCAACCCATTAACACGATAAAAAATCCGTACTAAAATAGGTTAAGAGTAAAAATTTTAATGTATTTTTTAAGTCGATATCATAATGGAGAATTCGTTATGGTAGTAAAAAATAGTAAATTTTTGCATTGCGGAAACAGTCAAATACCCGCATAATGGTTAATAACAAAACACAGACCTATATTGAAACAATTTATTATATAAACCTTCAATAAACCTGTATATGAAATTAAACGGCATATACATTAGAACTTTTTACAGGGTTAACCTACTTAATGAGGATTTTTTTGACATATATGCAAAGGAATTGACAATTGAAATCGACATATCGATTAGACACAATTCGAACACTATAACCCTATTCTATTGTAGGGGCATGTAATCTGAAAAAATGCAGTTTTGTTTACTATTGTTTTCTCGTGGACGACATCCCCTCCGAAGACCATAACAATGACGGAGCCACCACAAAAGAAGCCAAAAGTACAAAATATAAACACCATCAAGGCAATATTATCTCCGGAGTACACGGAGCCAATAAAATGTGACGAAGTCTATGTCACCGCGGTGGCTGACAAGAAACAAATATCGAAAATAATGCAACAGCTGGCTATCCAACTGCCGGTGCCGAAACTTCAGCATTTGAAACGTGTTAAGGATAATAAAATCATATTGTGCAGCAAGGAAGAAGTTGGAGAGGTAGAGAAACTAAAACCCTATTTGGAAACAAAATCTATAGACCCCCTTGTTGTGGAGGAAATTCTAAAACAAATCGAAGTAATCGCCGTACCCGCAAAATCACCCAAATTACGTTGGCAATATGAGGAAGTGCACCGCATATGGCCATGTAAATTCCATCCGGATAAATATATGGAACAAAGATATGAAGGTACCAATTTTACAGAGAAGGAAAAGGAGTTCCATATAAAAATAGTTTCCTTACTAAGGGATATATCACGTAAACTATTGAATAACCAAAACATAGGCGTATGTGTGGATCCCAGATTTCAAAGTCTGGTGGCAATGGCCTCCAGTTTTACAAACAAAAGTCCAGTTATGCATTGCCCCATGATTTTGGTTGATTATGTGGCCAGAACCCAAGATTCAGGAGCGTGGAATGAAAAATTAAATTCCGAAGAAGAATTTGTTGAATGTGAAAAGGCCTCAGAACACACTATGCTTGGAATACCGAGAAGATTTAAACAATTTATGGATGAAAATGAGGATTATAAAAATATCAAATTGGGTGCGGAACGTTTGAGATGTAGCGAAAAGTTGAAATGTGAAGAAGCCCAAACGCTTGATGGTGACAACTTGGCAAAATATGGTCCATATTTATGCACAGGCTATGATGTATATTTGTGGCAAGAGCCATGTCTAATGTGTGCCATGGCTTTGATACATAGTCGGGCAAAACGGGTGTTTTTTGTCAAGGCTTCGGACAATGGTAGTTTATCATCGCGCTTCCAGCTACATAGTGTACCTGAACTAAATCATCATTATGAAGTTTATCAAATTTTGTTGGAGAATTTGGAAAGTTGATACAAAATAAATAAATATATTAATAGGTCCAGAAGGGGTTATAATACGAAATTATTTAATTGTTTATTAATGGGATAGGATACTATAAATTCGTGCCCAGTCGGTCGGCGGCTACTCGTGTCTATCTGGACAGCTGATTCTCCTCTGCTGCTGCGGATGATATCCGAGTATAGCATTCATACGGTATTGTTATACTATCTGGGTGACTAAACCTGTATGCTTGATAGGTCTGTTGATCTAGATATTCGCGGTTGTAACTTTCGACCACTCTCTCTAGAACACGAAGATGTCTCCTGACGTGCCTAAGTTGGGAAAGTATGTCCATAAGACATTTAAATGTGCCCTCTGATTGGTCAAAAATTCTGCCACTGCATATTACTATTGTTTTATAAGAGGTCAAAACAAGGTTTCTTTGTCAGCACCTCAAGTGCTGCCTGTCAGCGACGTCAGAAACGTGCTTATCGCAAGCAGCAGTGCCGGACGACTTGAATATTACACCCAATATCTTGGGGTAGTTGGTGAATGGAATCTTCTTTCCATCGACCATTATTTTACTGGAAGTTTCATTTAAGACGTCCAAGTTTGGCTGTGGTTTCGGTGACGAATGTTTTCATATTCTTCAGATGAAATAGTTGGCGTTATTGTCGTAATTACTGGCGACAGAAGTGAAATAGGCCTGCACGATTCACTCAGCAGGTTTAATTGGGGGAAAACCCGGACTGCTTTCTATGATTCAGGAACTTTTTGGGTGGCTAACATCAAATTAAGGCTTGATGTTAAGATTACCACTCCGGGTTCAGGCATTTCTTTAAGCATTACCATGTAAATTCGGTCAGGGCCTAATGCTTTAGATGACTTTGCGTACTTATCTGTTGTTTGTGAAAATCACGCCACAGATCGCAATATTTTTTTTAAGATCGAAGATGCTTACCGAAGTTCGTAGGGCCATTTTTCAGGAAGAGTGAACTTCTTCAATGAGATTATTGCATTTTTATTCAGGGCTTTAACTGCTATAAATTGTTACTCATATTGCCTTAGAGAATTTTAGAAATCAGGGGAAAATGTACGGATGTATACGTATACTTTACTACATAATGGGTTCCGTTCAAAGTTTCGAAAATATGTATTCTCCTACTCCCTGTAATCCAGAATACCTAATTTTTTTTTTTCGCTTTCGAACTTATTCAGAATAAGGCGAAAGCGAGAATGCGAAAAAATTCACACAAAAATGTTGTTCAGAATAAGACGAAGGGGAAGTGCGAGTAAATTCACGTGGAATTGACATTCAGAATAAGGCTGTATAACTGAATGTGTTTGCTGGATTCCTCCTCATTCTATTCTTTTGATTCAGACCGATTACCCGAAACAAGATTCTCACGTCCGGGTGTTTGTCGTCTCTATGTCCTCGAACAGTTTGGCATGGTTGACGCATTCGATAGGTCAAAGGCCACCATGACTATTTGGTTACACGATGTAAGGTCACTAAATAACAGTTTCTCATAAATAGGATGAGTAGCGCCTCAAAAATTGTATTGCCATAAAGAAATTTAAAAGGTAAAAACATTTCTAAATTTGGCCGAGACGAACTTTTCATACCCTCTACCATGAGGTGGACATTTGAATCCTAAATCGAAATAGTTTTTGATAAATCTTACTTTTTGAGTACGACAACAGGCCATAATTTAAGTACAAAAGTGCGGACACTACAATAACAAGGGATTCTAAGGATTTTAATACAACAACAACTCTACTATATACTGCAACAATAAACGAATTAAACTTACATCGAAATGAACTGCCCCCTTCATAATAGCGATCGATATTTGCATACTTTCAACGGGTCTATTTTGAATTTTCTCTGGATCCATTAAAATTCTTAATTTTTTTTTTACTTTTGTAACAAAACAACAAAATTCTTTCTCTCTTTATTCTTCTCTTTAGCGTTCTTGAACAACAGACTTCATAGAGGCTTGGCGGGCTGGTGATGACAGCAGACCCAACAGCTGGCAATCTGCCTCAAGAATAGTTAAATCTTTGTTGGAACCCAAAAATTTCGTTGACAATTCTAAATCTTTGATCCTTAGGCGAACGCGGGAACCGCGTACATAATCATCACCATTACGCTGGGGTCTGGTGCAGACACAATGGAATTTCCAGCCAAAATCGATGTACAAATCATCGCCCACAACATGGAAGATTTTGCCGCTGACCACCTTGCCTTCAGGGTCGCCCATCTGAAAATAAGATATTTTATTATAAAATTTTTAATACAAATAAATCTCCCTTCACTCACATCAATAAATTTCGAATTCCTCAACAAGGAGGCAAAGGTTTCATTGTCGGCCGGCAAATCTTTGGGTTTCAGAGCATCGGTGTGACTTTCATAAGCTTTGGCGAAACCCTTCTTCTCTGTTGTTTGGTCACCACTTTCTGTTGCATCTGTGGTGGGGGTGGTCGTTGCCGAAAATAATCTTTGGGCAACGGTTACATGCCTCAGGCAGGTTGTTATATTTAATCTACTGGCTTTATACAGGAAAGACATTTTTATTTAATTTTCGGTTCAGTTTTGATTGAATTCTTATAGCCTCCTAAAACTAAATAATTCTTTTTTGGCAGGTTATGTAAAACAGCTGTTCACCAAGGGAGCTGTGTTCAATTGTCATATGTGCGAATATGTTTAGGGTTATCGAGAATCGTTGAAATTTGTAAAGAATGATGTTCCGAATCAAGTCACCCGGAGAGAAGAATTCGCAAAGTTTTCATAGAATAAATTACTAAAAATATATTAGGTTTTTGGGCCAGAGAAGTGAAGGGTTGCCATTCCCATTACGGAATTGAGGCAATTAAAATTGCCTAAAACGGCATATACATTAGAACGTTTTACCGGGTTAACCCACTTTGTGAGGATTTATTTGACATATATTCAAAGGAATTGACAATTGAAACCGACTGGGTTAACGAAATCCAGTTATATGTAAACGTACTATAATGTAAATCAGGACAATGGGAATTGTGCGAATATATTCCATGTCCCGAACTTTTGTAATAAGTAAAAAGTATGGAGGCGATTTTTAATGACATTGAATATTTTCTGGAAGACATTTCTAAATGTCGTAATAAGTTCAGTATTGAAACCCATCTTTAAGATCGAAGGTTCTTACCGAAATTCAAAAGTCAATAATTCAGGAAATATGGACTTCTGCGATAAAATAATAGTATTTTTGAATTCAAACCTTTAACCGCTTATAATTAATAACAATATTGTTTTTGAGAATTTAAAAAAAATCCAGCCCTAATCCAGGCGTGTTCCAAAAATTTGGAAATTTTAGCCACATTGATAGAAAAATTCGAAAATGGGACTGAACTTTTCAATGGTGCTATGCCAAAACATGGACTGATATTGGACATTGTCCAAAATATTCAATTGTAGGACGATTTTCTACTCAGAACCCAAAATACTAAATTACAAATTACCAATTAAACAATTCCTTATACGAGGGCTACACTAAAAAGTGGACCCGTACATCCCATTTTCAATACATCCCAAGAGTAGTAGCAATATACTAAAAACCGAGCTTTTGTTAAACACTTCCATGCTTCTAAACTGATACTCCATAAATAGGTTCTTTACTTTTTCAGGGATTCTAATACATCTAGAAAAATTCTATTATACTTTAAAATATATATAAGCCGCTCCGCATATTTTTTGCTCATAATATCGCCACCAAGCCACTGTACCTCGAACAGCTGTTCTCCTCAGTTGTAGCTGTGTTCAGTTATCAAATGCAAACAGTTGTTTTCATCAATTGTAGTTGTTTTTGTAGCACCCGTTTACACTTTTTTATCAGCAGCATCGTTGCACGTTTTTTCGATAGAAATTACACAATTCGTATAGTTTGGTTGAAGCCGCAGAACTTCATTTAGTTTTTTTGTTAAAATTATTAAATAAAATCTCATCAAAATGATCCAGCAACAACGTCAAAGAATCGAACAGGCCGTCACTGAGATGATCAACGACATGGACCGGACACATTTGCGTAAAATGCAGGTAAACAAAGGGGAATATGTTGGAGGGTCATGAGATTTTAATGGTTGCCTATGTGAGTTAGGTCATGTGCGGTTAATGGCCAGTGTACATTGCAAGTAATTTTTTGATTCATTGTAGGTTAAAAGATAATTATTAAAGATGGAAGAATCCACATCGGAAAAATGGTGGTAACATTTTTCAATGCTCCAAATTGCCAATAATGTGAAATATGGTTAAAGCTTAGTTTTAGGGCCGAATAGCGAAAGTCGGAGCCCCATAGCACAGAAAATATGGGATATCTACGTTTATTTAATTACATTTTTGTAATCAGAACCTTCAACAATTAGAAATTGATACATTGCCTTGGACAATTTTAAAAATAAGGTTAAAATATACAATTTCCAGCAGATCTTGGGTCCATATCCCCGGAAACTGGATTTCTTCAAAAATATATATCACTGTAATTAGGGCCAGTAGCGCTAGCTGTTGTACTAGATTTTTCGGAAATATGCTTACTTCGACTGTCTATAGAAAGCCTATAGTATGTGGTCAGTCTATAGATGACACACTCGTCCTATAGAATATGTTTTATATATGCAAGACATACTTATCCTTCTGTATTTAAAGAACAGATCTTAAGAAGGGCAACTATATATAGAATAAATTTATAATGTTAGCTACAGATATTATCCTATCTAAAGGAGAAATTCAGAATCCTCGAAAAGAAGTCCTCAATAAGATTTTAGGTCATAGAATACCTCAGGAAGGCATAGAATAGAATACCTCAAGAGGTATATTATCTGTTGAAGACTTTAATATATACCTGTAGAAAGCATTAATACGATTTTGTATTCATAGAAGACGTCAATAAGACTATTGAACCTTTTCTTTCCAAAAACCTTGAGAATGACCTCTATATTAAAGACCTCGAATTGAATATCTGTCTGTACACGATTTTAAGAGTATTCTCTATCTAGAGAATAACTTTATAAGGTCCTCCAGGTACATAGAGCCTTCTATATAGAGGAGATATCCATTTATCTGTTGAAGACCTACTAAAAAATTTCTATTTATAGAAGACCTCAATAATATTTTCTAATCGTCTAGTCCAGTTGTAGACTATCTTAGATATCCCTTCTAGTTATAGACTACCCCCAATAGGCCTTCTTCCAGTCGTAGACTACCACAGAAAAGTCGTCTTCTAGTCATTGATTTCCCCCCTGAAATCCACCCTTCTTCTAGTCAAACACTATCTATATACTCATAAAATGTTTCCGAAAGACCTCCGTATGGCCAGCAAGGCATGTAATACCTACCTCCGAAAGTCCTTCTCCATATGCCATAGAGTATATCCATAAAGTTGTCTAGCTACAGAATATCCCTGAAAGACTTCTAGACAAGGAATACTTCCAATGCCTTCTAGCCATTAAAAAACTTCAGAATGCTTTCTAGGTCGAAAGTCCTCCTTCTAGCCATACACTACCAAAAGGCTATCCCCAAAAGAATTTCTCTACAAGGTCTTCTAGCTATAAAATACCTACATTGAAAGACCATAAGTGCATTCAGTAAAACAAACTTCCAGAAAGTCTTCTATTAATAGCAGATCTCCAAAATGTTGTTTAGTATTGGAAGTTACCTTCTGGAGGTTTTCTAAAACTAGAAAACCACCTGAAAGTAGGACCTCCAGAATGTCTTGTAGCCATACAAGATCTTCTAGCCATAGAAGACATACAGAAGGTTTTATGGGCGTAAACTTTTTCTAGTCATTGACTACTTTTAGAAAAGATTCAAGTCATAGAAGACTCCCAGACCTCAGAGAAGGGATTCAGTCAATACCCAAGACATTCAGAAGGTTTTGTAACGACAGAACTTTACTCCTCCGGAAGTTCTTCAATTCATAGACGATTTCCAAAATCTGTTCTAGTAATAGAAGACTTTTAGAAGGGTTCCATGTTGTATAAAAACTTTAAATGGTGTTCTAATTATAGAAAACCAACAGTAGATTCTCCAGAAGTTGTTCTAGACATAAAAGATCTCCAGAAGATCTTTGAGTCATAGCATAACATCAGAAGTTGGTATAGTCATATAAGACGTCCAGTAGATCTCTCGAAGGTTTTGTAGCATTTGAATGCTTTTGAGAAGGTAGTCAAGTCATAGATGTTATCCAGAAGGTCTTCTAGTCAACTAGTCCTCCAGAAAATCTTCTGTCCACAAACTAAAATGATATGGGTTTATAGCTAAAGGGATTTCAGAATAGCTTTATCTAAGAAAACCTTACGTAGCAGGAAGATCTCCAGAAAGACATATGCATAGATTTTTTGGAATTCTATTTATATACATAGAAAACTTCGAAGCTCTTCTTTCAGCGTTTTTCTATATATAGGTGTCCTATATTAGGTATCCGAAATATCCTATAAAAACATAGAGACATAGAAGACATCCAAGATTTCTTGAAGTCATTGAAGACCTCAAGAATGAATTTGTCATAAATGTATTAAAAAAGACTACCATTCATAGAAATCCTCAAGAAGGTATCGCTCCGAAATGATCTTTAAAAATCATAGACGACCCGATGGTCTTCTAGTCATAAAAGACCTCCAATATGTCACATAGTAATTTTATATGGTTCTGTAGATATAGTGGACCATTTTGGTGCTGAAAAGGCCACTAGGAGTTCATCTCAAGTGTTTCATATCTACCGAAGAATTTTATTGGATCCTCTGAAATTGTAGTTTTATAGAAAGTTTACAGGAGGCTTTCTTTCTTTGGGTACTTTCTGGTTTTATTTTCTATTGGACCCTAAATTACAATTTCCATAATTCTTATCATCCTTTTAATTTCTTTCTTTCAGACTGATATGCATTTGTGTGCCGCCAAATGTTGTCAGGATACCAGTGCCAGTGTAGATAATGTACAAAATTGCGTCGAAAGATGTTCGGCACCATTGACCAGGGCCCAAAACTATGTCCAGCATGAATTGGGTGAATTCCAGGGAAGACTACAAAGATGTGTTATGGTAAGCTACCACCGAACTTTATAAAACTTAGACTATCTTTATAAAAATACTCAACAATTGTATTCTTTTTTAGCAATGTAACGATGATGTCAAAGTAAAAATGCCACCAAATCCAAGTGAGGAGGAAATTAGCAAATATACCAATCAATTTGAACGTTGTGCTGTGTCGTGTGTGGATAAACATGTTGGCCTCATACCCACAATGATGAAAACAATGAAATCGGTATTGGCAAAGGGGCCCGAAGGAATACCACAAGTTTAATTCTTGCTAAGGAGGGATTTTCTTTTTCAATGGCATTTCACTTTTCTTCTTTGAGACAAACAAACAATTATACATAAGTGTTGTATTTTTTTAAGTTTATTTTATTTGGTAAAAAAATATGAAAATAACACGTAATTGCATTACGTGACGACGTTATACTATGTTTAGTTGTTAATACATGAACCATGAACAAATGAATGATGATGATAACAAATTAAAATATGGATTTTACAAAACAACAACAAAAATTGATGGACTTTTTTTCTTGTATAGTTTATGTCCGCCCTATTAAAACCCCTGTTTTTTCCTGAGTAATTTATGTCCGCCCTATTAAACCCTGTTTGAAATTTTAGTTTTATTTTTTATTCTTTCTGATATTTGTTTTGTTTATTTTTCTAAAAGGAAATTAGATTAAAATTGATAATTCCGCCTTTTGTAAATATTGTGAAATGAATGGTGATCATCGTCGTCGCATCGATCAGGCCATAATCGATCTGATCAATGATGTCTATAAGACACATTTAAGAAAAATGCAATCGGAAATGCATCTGTGTGCTGCCAATTGTTGTGATGATGTGCATCGCCAACCCAGCATGGATAATGTTCAGGGTTGTATTGAAGATTGTGCAGGGCCATTGTTGAGGGCCCAGGATTATATGCAACATGAATTGGGTCAGTTTCAAGGGCGTCTGCGAAATTGTTTGATGGTTCGTTGGAATGGAGTGTTGGATTACACGATTTTAATTTGCTCCTATAATTATAGCAATGTAATGATGATGTTCGGGGTCGTATCCCCAGCAATACCCAAAAATCGGACATAGTAACATATGCTAATCAATTTGAAATTTGCACGGGACAATGTGTGGAGAAATATATTGGCCTAATACCAAAAATGATGAATACCATGAAATCGGTATTGGATAAAGGACCGAATGTTATGGATCAAATGTAGATGAATTTCAAATTATTTTGGAAATAAAATTTGAGACTTCAAGTCGGGAAATAAGTGTGGATTTTTTTATACCCTTCACCACACTGTGGTACAGGGTATTATGTCTTTGTGCATATGTTTGTAACAGGCAAAAGGAAACGAGATAGACACATGATTCCTTTGAGAATATGCTTAAAATCACTTTTTAAGTCGATTTATGCATGTCCGTCCGCCCGTCTGTCTGTCCACGTTAAATTGTAAACAAAGTGCAGGTCGCATTTATGTTCCGATTTGGATGAAATTTGGCACAGCTCACTCATTTGACCCAAGGACGAACCCTATTGAAATTGGGAAAAATCGGTTCAGATTTAGATATACCTCCCATATATATTTTCGTCCGATTTAATGTAAATGGTGCATAGAAGTCCCTATATATCTTTCGATTTGCACGAAATTTCACATAGCGTACTGAACTAAGTCTAGAACGATGTGTGTTAAATTTCATGAAAATCGGTTCAGATTTAGATATAGCTCCCATATATATTTTCGTTCGATTTTAGGTAAATAGTGCATCAAAGTCCCTATATATATTCGATTAGCACGAAATTTGGCATAGAGTACTGAATTAAGCCTAGAACGATGTGTGTTAAATTTCATGAAAATCAGTTCAGATTTAGATATAGCTCCCATATATATTTTCGTCCGATTTTAGGTAAATAACCGATTAACATGAAATTTTGCACAACGTATCAAGTGGAGACTTGATTGACGTTATTGCGTTCTGTTGATTGGTACATATGCAGCCTGATTGAGATTAAATTTTTAACAGTGCGACGCACTATGTCGCGAGTTCATATAAACAGCGGCCAAAAATAGAAGGAGTTATCGTAAGTTAATGAAATTTGGTACATGTGCTTATTATTGGCCTAAAGAGCAACTGACAAAAAATGGATAGATCGGACCAAGATTTCGTATGACTCCCATACAATGGGTCTTGAGAATGTCACCTTTTTTGACCTATAAAATCTTTAATATTCAAACAAATTCAATGAAAATTGGCAATTTACATTTAATTAGGCCTCTAAAGCAACTGACCAAAAACTGGGTAGATCAGACCAAGATTTGGTATACCTCCCATACAAAGGGTCTTGAAAATTTTACTATTTTGGGCTATATAATCTTTAATATTCAACCAAATTCAATGAAAATTGACAATATACACTTACTTATGCCTATAAAGCAACGGACCAAAAACTGGGTAGATTGGACCAAGATTTGATATACCTCCCATACAAAGGGTCTTGAAAAATCCGGTTTTTGGACCTATAATTTTTTTATATTCATCCAAATTGCAGGAAAATTTTCATGTCTTCGTCCAAATTACATCAAATTTGGGCGAAGAAAGTAACAGGTGCTGTTATTTAGTTGTTGGCCCATATTTCAGGTACCTACCATACGAAAAGTCCCTAAAAATGTAACTTTCTGTACTATAAAATCGTTATATGCTGCTAAATTAAGTATAGTAGTTTTATTTTTGTTATTTTTATTATAATATAATACATATTTGATATCCTTTAGTAACTAATAAATTACTTGTTTATCATTCACAAAATTTTTACACACATCAGAGATATATATATATATATATATATATATATAAAATATTGTCTTCCCAAATGTACGATTTAGTATTATCCACGCAATAATCTCGGGCCTTTACTTTATGGCTGTTTAAGGATATTACAAGGTCGGATTGTAATATAAAATTCTAAATAAAATCCTTATTTAACTCGGCTTTAACAAAAGTTCGGGCTGCTACTAATTATTTGTTGGCATGACTTGTTAGCATCTTGTGAAAGTCGCTCAAAAGGTATTGTACTGCACTTTGCATATCCCATGCCATGAACTAATATTTTTCTGTATGAACTTTCCACAAAGGTAATTCATGTGCGACATCTAAATTTAGATTATAAGATTATGTCTCAAATGATCTGATAAATAAGTATAATCTTCAAACTGACTGAAAATTTATTTAAAAGCTATATATTAAAACCAATTCTCCCATATCTTCGCTTCGAATAACGTTTTTACCACTTAATTGCATATTTTATGAAACATATTGTATTATTTCTATGTTCTGAATACATATTCTCCTTCCTATTTGACCCTCAATAACTTATTTAATTGTATACATAATACATTTGACCATTTGACCATTTTAAACCTTTTTTTCTGCTCCACTAATTTCAAAATTTGTTTTAAAAATTTGATGAACTAAGTACTACAAGTGTGGACGACTGTATACACCATATGATATCTATATACATACAAACTAAAGAGAATACTAGTTTTAACATCCACAGCAACCAAACTAAACACTTTTATAATAACCGTTAATTTGAATATTCAAATATTTGAGCATCAGAAAAACACACCCATTTTTCGAAAATGGGTGTGTTGCAGAACGGCATCATTATGCTCCTTCGAGTGCACATTGATATGCAATTGTAAGGACACATATGAACAATGTACCCAAAGTGGTGAAGGTTATCATATAGTCGGCCCAGTCCGACTTTACTACTTTCCTTACTGGATAAATATTTTTTTTATGGTGGAACCAAAAACGTGGTATTTTTTCAAGGTTCTATCAAAGGCGAGGATTTATTTTTATTATTTTTTCAAGGAATATTTAACTCAACAGAAAAACTTTCATTAAATATTAATTTACTTATTTATTTTAACACAAGAAATTTATTCACAAAATAAAAAAAAAACTTTATTTATTATTTGCAAAAGACAAACAGCCATAAACACACACACACAAAAACAGACGCACTATTTGTGTACAATGACATTTTAAATTTGCCATAAAACATTGTGAATGCAAAACACACACACACACAATACATACATACAACCATTAACAAACAGATACACGATGGGGATATGTGAAGTACTACTACAAACACTTTTTAATGAGTCCTTGTGCTATGGTTTTATTTGAACAGGGTTCACGGAGCGACATTCTACGAGGATCAATGACATTTTAAACGCTCTCCGAATGGCTGCACACATTTGACGCGACAAATTTGTCACAAAATATGTCAACATTAACAAAGGATAACCAATTTTGACATTAATTAATTAACATTTGGCAAAGTTGTGAGAAATGATGTTAATGTTCTGAATATGTAAAAGGATTTTTGAAAATTGTTGAATTCAGCAGACTAAACTTTTTTTATAAAATTTTATTTCGCCATATCAAAATTCTGCCTTTCGAAAATAAATAAAAATTGTAAAACAGTACAATATCCATTATTAGTTATGAGGGTATATTTCAATTGAAACTCTATTGCAGTTTATAGTCAGGATGGTGTGGGTGATATATGTAATACCCGTATTTTATAGGTTTACATATTCATCCAATAAGAAACACATGGCTTAGTGTGTGCTACAATATATTCATAACTAATATTATATACATATGTTTGTACATATATATAAAATACAAATATAATGCTGAGTGCAACAAATAAATTTTCCATTGATTAACCTAACATCCAACAGATACAGTGGTGAATAAAAGTTGGTGCTTAAAAAAAGGGTTGGATTTTTTAAAAATATGTTTTCAAGGGTCAATCACAGATTTTTTCAAACGCCCACCACAGGCGTGGATTTATTAAAAACAAATTTCAAGATTCCATCAGAGATAGATTTTAGATAGATTTTTTTTGAAGATATTGTTTTTTTTTTTAAATATTTTTTCAAGGTCTATACAGGGCGTGGATTTTTGAAAATATTTTTTCAACTTCAGTAGTGTTTGGCGGGTTATTTGGGATACCATTTGTATTTTGTTTTTGCAAAATAGTCAGGCTTAATCCCAGTTTGTTGTTTTTATAAAAAACAATTATTTATTGGTGGGGAATGTATGGCATTGTCCGCCGAGGGGAAGGCAGGGAAGACTATAGTTTCGGATCTCGCCACTGATCCTCATCAGTTCCCTTAGTTTTTTGTTGGGATATTCTCCCCAGAATCTATTAATAGCTTCTTTACAAAAAACCTTTCAAACCCAAATGTCTCTTGTGACAATTCGAAGTTCTTACGTTACCAGCGATACGACCCCAATGAGAAGTTCGTTTCGTTGGCGCCTGACTTCGTGGTCAACAAGGCATTTACAGACAACTACAATACATTTCCCACTGCTATGTGTCGTCACTTTGTGACGAATGCACATAACGTTGTTGTTGGTATTGCTAGTTAAAGCAATAAACCAAACAGTATGACCGTGCCTCGTCTACAACTTCAGTAGTGTTTGGCGGGTTATTTTGGATACCATTTGTATTTTGTTTTTGCAAAATAGTCAGGCTGATGGAATTTTTTCAACTTCTATACAAGGCGTCGATTTTTATACCCTCCACCATAGTATGGAGGGTATATTAATTTTTTCACCCCTTTTGTAACTCATCGAAATATTCATTTGCGACCATATAAAGTATATATATTCTTGATCAGGGTAAAATTCTAAGACGATCTGTCCGTCTGTAATCACGCTATGTTCTGAAGGAATTGAGACAGATCGCCAAAATTGTGCATAGAGTCGTCTTTTGTCTGCTGGCAGGTCAAGTTCGAAGATGGGCTATATCGGTCCACGTTTAGGCATAGTCCCCATATATGGGTATCGCCCAAATTTTCGATATTTTGGGGTTCTTGAGCTCGTTTTTCAACCGAATTCGCTGAAATTTGGTACATCGGGTTCTTTTTGGGTACCAAATGTCTCCACTAAAACTTATAAAAATCGGTCCACTTTTTCTGGTATCCCCCATATAGCGGCACCCTCCAATTTACGGTATTTTGGGGGATTTTAAGCACGTTTTTCAACCGAATTCGCTGAAATTTGGTACAATGGGTTCTTATTGGATACCAAATTTCTCCACTAAAAATTATAAATACAGGTCCATTTTTTCGGGTTAGCCCCCATATAGCGGTACCCTCCTATTTACGGTATTTTGGGACATTTAAGC